AGAGCCTAAGTAATATACTCCAGGTAATACTAAGTCAATTGAGTCAGACAGATCAATCCTCAGGCACTGTGAGAAGTGGGAGGCCACCTGGATAACCAGAGCAGAGCTCAGAGGATCCCACTGTATATCCAGTGGTGCATCAGGGAACATGTAGAGCCAAGGATTGAAATCAGGTCCCTGCATAGGCAAGGCAGGTAGTCCTGATCATTGATCTATGGAGCGATAGCACAGCGGGTAGGGTGTTTGCCTTGCACGCAGCCAACATGGTCGACCCGAGTTTGATTCCTCCGCCCCTCTCGGAGAGCCCGGCAAGCTACCGAGAGTATTCGATATGCCAGACACAGTAACAACAAAGTCTCCAATGGAGACGTTACTGGGCCCGCTCGAGCAAATCGATGATCAACGGGAGGGCCTTTACTTACTTTACTTACATATTAATGAGCCTATATCCAAAGAAAAAATTCTGCAATACTTTTTTCTGCAATACTTTTTTACTGCAATTAACATTAAATGTTAATGAGGGTGTGACTAAAGTATGAAAAAGAAATAAAAATTAAGGGCACATGCTTCGGAACTTTGTGAAAAGCCAGGTATGAGCTGGTCGTGATGGGGCGACTGAAACCTCATGGGAAGGGGGGCGTTCCCGGCTCATCCTTCATGCCCTACTGAGGTCAGGAGTTGCCCCCCACGAGCAGCTCTCCAGCACGGCCATGGCTCCAGAAGCACAAGGACTTAATGCAGAGCCCAGCAGCTTGCTGCAGAAAAGTGAATGGACTATGCATTAATCCATGCCACCATGCCTGCCCAGAGGGGAAAGGGTGTTGCTCCCTTATGCCTTTTTCCCTCTGGAAAGAAAGATGGCAGCCACTTCGGAGCTTTGTGGAAAGCCAGGTATGAGCCAGTCGTGATGGGGTGACTGAAACCTCATGGGAAGGGAGGCATTCCTGGCTTGTCCTTCACGCCCTACCGAGGTCACGTGTTGCCCCTCACGAGCAGCTCTCTGGCATGGCCATGGCTCCAGAGCACAGAAACCAATCTCATAATTATCTGACTCTGAGCAGAAATATTTCCAGGCTTAATAAGTAAAATACCAGAAATCCAAAATTGCACGGCCGCATAGCAGCCGTGCGACATCATTTGATTCTTGTAACCAACTGTAGAAAATAAATTATTTCATAATGCCTTTTCAGCATGTCTGATTTGGGGGTGTAAACTCTAAATAATAATGGTGCATCTTTTGTCGAAACAATGAATCTAATCAAAGTAGATAGAGTGTTAACTAGAATTCATCTGCCTCACAGGCATTGGGAGGGTTGGGGGGAGTTTATTGGGGTTCTTGGTGGTGAAAAATGAGTATTGGTGAAGGGAAATATGTTTGATAATTGCATGACTGAGACTTAAACCTGAAAACTTTGTAACTTTTCCCACAGTAATTCAATAAATTAATTAATTAAAAAAATTAAGGGCACAGAGATAGCTCACCGAGGCCATAAATCGAATTCTCAGTACCACTCTGCATGCCCAATATTATCCCCTTGGCATTGCCACCTCTGGTTCCTGGTTGCACAACAACATATATGCTTTCTGGCTTACCACAACAAGTGTGTATGAGCACTATAACTATGAGATCTGGTCAGCACCACAACAAAAGTGTGTGGTGCCTGATGAGCACTGCACCCAAGTATGTGCAACCCAAGTCACTGCTACAACAAAGGAAAGGCAAGGGGGAGGATATATATACATTACTTTCAGTAGCAGTAAATCAAAATATGTAGTGGATGAGATTATGCAAAGCTGCTTGGAATAGGAAAAAAGAGGTAGGGTAATTTTATTTCCAGCAACGTGTTATTTATGAGATGTTACCCAAATGCAGGACATTCACTCAACTAGTATAACAAGGAAACGATGATGAATCGACAAAACAAAAATTTATATCCCAAAAAACTCCTGAAGTAGGAGCAAAGGTAAAATGTATGTTTCAACACTTAAAAACAAGATTTGATTTAAAAAAGTTCTATAGTACTAATAGTAAATAAAGGTATAAAAGCAAGGGAGAGAAAAGATTAATTCTAGATAAATGGAATAAGAGACTACTCCATTGGGCTCTAAAGGATAGAGATGTTTTTGGCAACTAGAGGGGATCAGTTCATATGAACACTATGTGTCAGAAGTGCTTTCATTAAGGTATGCAATCCTCATATTCACCTGCTGAGGAAGATATTACCCCTATTTACAAATCAGGAAGCTGACAGATATTAAAGCTCAATAAGAACCAGGATTAGACCAAGCTGGTACTCCTCATTACACTGATGTTCTGCATATCTAGTCAAAAAGAAAATATTGAGATCTTTAAGTTAAGAAAAATGATTAACAAGTGCATAATGAAGAAGGAAGATTACATTTATTGAAGGGTCTTGAAGGATCAGTCTCCATATGAAATGTTTTTTCCACAATATTTTGTTAATGATCACAATGCCCAAAAGGAAAGAGAGAGAGAGAGAGAGAGAGAGAGAGAGAGACTGAAAGAATGGGGGAGTTGGGGGCTTGTGGGAGGGAAGGGAAACTGGGGAAATTGGTGTTGGGAAACATGTGCTGACGGAAGGATGGGTGTTGGAACACTGTATAACTGAAACCCATTTCTGAATAGCGTTGTAATGGTCTATGTCATGGTGATTCAATAAAAAACTTTTTTTTAATTTTTATTTATTTTTATGAGATCATTAACATGTTTTACAAATGAAAAAATAAGGTACAAATAACTCAAATATTAGGCCAAACAACTAAAAATTAGAAAAGAAAATTTAAATGATGTCTGAGTCGAACCCTAGTCAAGCTGAACAGATTGTTGGCTTAGCATGTGTTATCTCACTAAGTCCCAAAACAATGTTGCCAATCTGGTAATGTTAGTTTTCTTATTTTAAAGATAAGAATATGAAAAAAAAACACGTAAGTAACTTCCTCAAGGTTCCAGAGCTTGTAAGAAGTAGGCACAGGGCCAGGGTATAGCTCAATGGTAGAATACAGGAGATTGTCATGTGAACAGAAACCTAACCCCAAGGTTGAGATAGTTCTCTGGGCAAAACAGCATAGGTCTTGAAATATAAACAGAAAAATGTGCCCAAGAAAGAATACAACAGATAACAGGGCAAGCAAAAATGCATCCAGGAAAGAATCCAGGGTGATCTAGAGAGGGCAACAGAGGCAATAAAAAAAAAGAATAGCAAACTGTCATGACTTTTATATGTACTTTTAAAGGTGCCCACTGATTTTGGCTATGTCAATCTCAGTCTCTGGTTTTAAGGTGCTCAGTGAATTTTGATGTAGTTACTAATTGTTCTTAATGTATCTGTCAACTAAAACAGTAATGTGCTGGAAACTAAGATGTAAAGTAAAGTAAAGGCCCTCCCGTTGATCATCGATTTGCTCGAGCGGGCCCAGTAATGTCTCCATTGGACACTTTGTTGTTACTGTGTCTGGCATATCGAATACTCTCGGTAGCTTGCCGGGCTCTCTGAGAGGGGCGGAGGAATCGAACTAGGGTCGGCCATGTTGGCTGCGTGCAAGGCAAACGCACTACCCGCTGTGCTAGCTATATTATATGAATAAATTATATTATAAATTATATGGTATAAATGATATGATTTAAATATTATATAATTATACAATATTATATGAATTAATGTTAAAAGTGTGCTCACTTATGGATGCCCAGGATACTATCCGGGCTTGGACAGTCCTTGTGTTTGCCTCTTTATGTTTGTCTTATTCTCTGTGACTCACATCCACTAAAAGGAGGTTGAAGGTGACAATCTGATTGGTTTTACACAGAAGAGCACATGTCTTACAAGTGTGAGGCCCTAGGTTCATCCAGAGCACTTTTGGGAAAAAAAAAAAACAAAAGAAAACATGTACCCCAAATTTAATCTAGGCAGCTTGACAGTTCAGGCCAGAATTCTGAATAAATTGTAATAAATGATAAATGGAAGTCAAAACGTGGATACTCTCAACTTCTCATGTTGAATTAAGAATCAGACTGTGATGAAAATAGTTGCCATGGAGAACATGATCAAATTATGTTTTAAGAAGAAAGTCCTTCAATACACATACCAAAATTAGATTCTAAGTATAAAAAGTTTAAGAAGATGTGAAGACTTTTACTGGTTCAGCTTTTTAGATAAAGTTAAGGTGTTGATTTAGAGTATTTATTTAAGATGATCACCCATGTGATTATTTGGCAAAAACTCTCTAAGCATAATCCTACTAAAGTGTGAAACCCCAACTAGATACTCTAATACCTTGCTTCGGATGGAATTAGAAGTTAGCCCTCATTATGTCTTCTATATATTCCTTGGCATAGTGACTTCTTAACATCATTGATCATCATTTCTCAAAGTAAAACAGGGAGGGAAGATCAACAACTGATTCTAGTACAGCAGAGAGAGTGCTTGCCTTGCATGATGACCCAGGTTTGATCTCTGGCATCCCTTATAGTATCCCAAATCACACCTTTAACCCTGAGTCAGAAGTAAGCCCTGAGAACAGCCAGATGTGACCGAAACCCAATAAAACGAAACCTGAAGTACTTTTACTTTTAACATTTCATTCGGCCATTTAACCATCTGGCAACTTAGCTATCATGCAAAAATTTTTAACACCAAACAGTCTCCCAAGCTAACCAACCAAGAGGCCTAGCAGTGTTCACCTACAAAATAGGGTCAACATTGCTCAGCGACAAGCAGAGTCTGACTCAGCCAAACAGCCAGCATCAGTTGTGAATGAGTCCCAAAGTCCCCAAAGTCCCTTGTACTAGTTTTCTGGTCACTGAGTTCCCGATAGCTCTTTTCCTATGCGTTCTCTGTCCCAAATTCTTGCAGATCGTTGCCTATCCACCTATGAAGTATTACTATGACCCCATCTCTTCGTGAGGAGGACACGCAGATCTTGGGTTGCCTTTTCAGGTTCACTCTATCCCCGTGGCTCTGCAGAGCTCCCCAACTTACCAAGTGCAGGGCCAGGGGCAACAGCAGCAGGAACAGCCACAGGTAGAGGTGGCAGCTGTTGGTGAACTTGCTCTGCTCCGGGTCGTGGTACCAGCCTCCGGTGAGTGCGGCCCACACGCCCTGCCGAAGCAGTTGCAGCATTTGGGACACCATGCCTGCTGCAGCCGGGGTCAGGCAGCGCTGCGCCGGTCGGCCGCCACCCGCAGCTGCCGGGTCCCGGGATTCCCGCCGCTTTACCACGCGGGCCCAGGAGCGACGCAGCCCCCGCCGCCGCTGCCGCCGCCACCCTCTCCACCTCCTTCCTCCCCACAGCTGAAGCTCGAGCTGCCCTTCCACCCAGACCCGCGGACCGCGGTGCCGGAACCGGCTGCTGCCGCCGGGAAGGTGGGAGCCATGTCCGAGGGAGAAAGGATTTTCCCATGATGCTCAGAGGCGGAGGCTCAGGGGATGCTCCACAGGCTCCGCCCAGTGCCCGCCCCAACCCCTAGCAGAGTGAGAGGGTGAGAGACTTTGCGAGTCCACCCCCTTAATCTCTACCAGCTTTTCCCAATAATTTGCCCAGATACTCTTTTAGAGGACAAGAAATACTTAAAAATCAGAAATGTTCACATGTAGAAGAGACAAACAGGGACAATTGCCTGAGCCTTAACCTGTATTTTTGACTGCTGCACCAAAATATTTACTTAATCAGGAAGCAGTCGTACATCATTCAGTGCAGTTTCCCTGAACACCGTCTGTACATTGGCAGTCTCCATAGATAACAGCGGTTCCCAGATTAGATAGGATTAGATATAGGTATTTTTTGAAGAAGGTCATCAAAAATGCATTATCCTTTAGAGCATCAATCAGAGACTCCTTATCCCCCTTTCTGGCAATGTACGTTCTGCCCACAGGTCCCATACTGGGAACCATTTCAAAGATGCAGGTTTCAGAGTAACATATGCTTATGATATATTATTGAAGCCATCTTAACTATGGAAGTAATTGAACTCTATTAAGATCGTATAACTCTTTAAGATTCTGACCAGTCACTTGTCTTATGGTCACCTAAGATGACTTGCAGTAAATTCTCTATCTTATTAAAACAAAAGTGACACCTACCAATCTGGAATATTCTTTGATCTGTCATTGTCCTCCTTGTATGGGATCCAGCTTCAAATTTCATCCTGTGAACTCACACAGTTTCAAACCCAAGATATAGGGCTTCTATAGGATTGTAATAGGGATGGGTGAGGTGACATATTCAAGTCTATGAAAGAGGAAGTAATGAGATGCAGAGAAATGTGTTTTAAAACTAAATATTAGGTCTAGGCAGATCAATGTGAATAGCTTACCAGGCAGATATATAATATGGTCATTGGAGGAAATATCAGTTTGGCCAAATGTGTCTGTCCAGAAGGTAGGACTGGGGAAGGAGAGATAGAACAGTGAAAAAATTAAAGGACAAACATAAGCAGAGGTCAATTTTTGTGGGTTGTATAAAGTTCATCACCCCTGAAAGTAAATAAATACTCAATACTAGTCAACAAAGTAACATTTGACTGGTTGGCTACATGGGAGAAAATTAAGTCTTTTCTGGGATAGTCTTAATCTATTGTCCTGGCTAAAATGATTATGATTGTGTTGATTAATCTAAAATCTCTATCTCTAGTTATTTTGTATGTTTCAGTATCATATCAAAGTGTCCCCCAATTCAAGCCTTAATATACTCAAACATGTACTCACTGACTGCTTGCTGCTATTTCCACTACTGTACATTTTATTTAGTATTTCAGTTGATCAAAAGGCAAACCACCTGGGAACTATCATAGATTCCTCTCATTTTCCTATCTCAACCAGCAAGATCTTTTTGTTGTGGTGGTGGGTTTGTTTTGTTTTGTTTTTTAAGGATTTTCCCATGATGCTTAGAGGTGGAGGCTCTTTACCAGGCAGTATCCAAGACTTCCTCCTGACTCTGCACTCAGGAATCACTCCTTATATGGATTAGGGACCATATGGGGTATTGGGGATTGAACCTGGTATGCAAGTGACTTCCATCCCTGTACTATCTCTCCAACCCTGCTCAGATCTATTGATTTTATCCCTAAATGATTATTAGAAAGTAACACTTTGCTTTACCCTTAATACCAACGCTTTAAGATTTCTCATTTAACCTATTGCAGTAGCTTCTTAATGCATTTTTATGTATTCAGTTACTCCTGGTTTAGGTTCCAGATCCAGCTCTCCCCACCACCTCACTGCCCCAAATCTGCCTGAAACACGAGGAAGCCTGAGGAATATAGTTAATCTGTAATGCAGACAAAGAAGAAGCCAAAGTGATTCATACGAAATTTAATCTGACCATTAAGCCCCTGTATAAGAGATCGTTAAGATGTCATTAAAGTTTGAGCTTTTGTGTACATATGTACATACATAGATAGGTAAATCAAAGGAAAATCAGTTACATATTCTCCAAACTCCAAACTCCATCTTCTAATCTCATCTAATCCCAACCTCATTGCTAGGAATACAAAATGCTCGTATTTCTTTGAACATTGCATAGTTCCAGTGTCGTGGGATCTCTGGGTGACCTATGTGAAGTGAGGAGGAGAGAGGTGGCAGTCTAGAGAAGACTCAGCAATCTTCAGTCTGCTGTTTTCTCTATCTACCATTGCCACCTGAGGAAATAGATGACTGTTAAATGGGCATTGGTGGAGGGAAGGGTATTTGACCATTATATAATCAAAACCCAAGCACAAAAATTTGTAAGTCTACAACTGTACCTCATGGTGTTTCACTAATAAAAATTAAAAAAGAGAGAGAGAGAGAGCTGTGAGTCTTGCTTCTTGCAGGAAAGGAAACTCAATCTTATACCTTACCCAGACCTTTTGGGTTCTCACCTTTCCCCTCATAAAAAAGAATTTAAGAATTTCAGGAATAGATCAACAGTGAAGTTAAAACAGGTTTTGTGGGGCCGGAGCGACAGCACAGAGGTTAGGGGGTTTGCCTTGCACACAGCGAACCCAGGTTCAATCTGTGGCATCTTATAAGGTCCCCCAAGCACTGCCAAGAGTAATTCCTGAGTGCAAAGCCAGGAGTAACCCTGAGCATCGCTGGGTGTGACCCTAAAGCAAAAACAAAATTAAAAAAAACAGTTTTGTTTGGAAGTTTTGAAGAAGGAGGGTGGGTTCAGGAGAAAGAGAGAGAGAGAGAGAGAGAGAGAGAGAGAGAGAGAGAGAGAGAATAACATGCAAGAGAGAAAGAAGGAACAAGGAGGTGGAGAAAAAGAGAGAACAGGGTGGAGAGAAAGAACCCTGGCACACATTCTGGTGTTAAAGTATGAAGGTATGAAAGTATACATCTCGAGGGGAGATGCAGGCAACACATGTGCTCTGAAGCAGCACATGCACAAAAGCAGCACATGGGCTTAGACATTATATGTACATGTTTCCATTGTTCAACTTGATAGGATTTTTTCCCAAGCTGTCTCATGTGGAACTTTCTACTTAGACAAGAATCCATTGCAAGGGTGGTTGCCAAGGGGTAAAGGTGGGAGTAGTTAATGATTTTCTTTGATATTCCTTTTCTGGTCTTTGTTCTTGCTGGAACTTCTCTTGGGACAGGGGAGGGAGTGGAAGACAGACACTCCAGCCTTCTCTGAGTCTGTGCTAGCACCCACCTGATAAAGGTCTTTTATAAATGTTTTAATTTTTTCACAAAGTTGTTCAGAATAATTGATTCAATTCAATATTTCAACACCAACCCTCCCCACTATTAAACCTTCCCACCACCATTATTTTGAATTTTCCCACCACCACCCAAGCCTGCCCCACAGGCAGATGATAATTTATTTTCTATTGCTTGCTATGAATAATTGACTAAAAATGTTCCAAAAAGTTTTCCTTAAAGGAAGGTGTGTGAAAATTGTTGTAGCTCATCTTGGAGCCATTAAGTCCCTGTATAAGAGATCATTAAGATGTCATTAGAGTTTGAGCTTTTGTGTACATAGATAGATAGATAGATGATAAATAGATAGATAGATAGTAGATAGATAGAGAGATATAGATAGATAGATAGATAGATAGATAGATAGATAGATAGATAGATCAAAATCAGTTGTCTTCTACCTTACACCCTGACTCTTGGTATATCAGTGGCATAAAGTATGAGATGTCATGCAACCACAAAAGTGGTTGCACATTCCTGAAATTCTAAAATTTTTAATAGAATGCTAGAGTTGGAGTTAAATTTTTTAACTGGATAGTGATTTGGGGGTCTGGAGTCACCTCCTTGGCATGTTGCTGTCTTCCGAGATTCACTTGTGAATCTCTGGCTCATGGCTGTTAAAGAGCTAAAATGGCATCCAGACGCAGTTTGTGGGTATGATGGCGAGGAACCCAGAAGGGCGGGGAAATGAGAGGAGAAGCCCATTCCCCACTCTGTGCGAGACTGGAGATTTCAGTCCAAGTTCTACATACCTGTTTTTTTCAGCGAATTCATTCTCATGTATGTGTGTGTGTGGCGGGGGGGGGGGGGGGGGGGGAAGGGGTACGGGGGGCTTGGATGTTTGTGACTGCCAGGGTTCTTTTGGGGCAGACTGGGGGTCACACCTGCCCACCTCTGAGGTGCCTGGATGAAATCAGCCTGGCATGGTGTGGGGAGACATCTCTGCGGCTTACTGCTCTCTTCTGAGAATCATTTGTAAGTCTCTGGATAAAGGTCTTATCAGGCCTTAGTTCCTGTGTTCACAAAGTGGGTTTTTGCAGCTTGGGTGGGATAGGCTTTATTACTTTCCAGGAATGTATCGCCATGGGGGACCTTATCCTATCTACAAGTCTTTCTGCTTCAGTTTTTCAGGCCTATTTGTACTTGCTGATGCTGTTCTCTTATAAAGAAAAAAATGCTAGCAAATCTACACATGCACTATGTTACATTATGTGATACTAATATTTTGCTTGGGATTATAATCGAATCTACTAGCCACTTTTGAAAGAATTGGCATCTTTCCATTCATGAACAAGATGCACCCATTTTCTTATTAAGATCTCTCAATAAATCTAGTTTTCTATGTAGAATTCTTGCACATTATTTGTTGGCACCCAGTGTGGGTCATGACCCAGATAACTATGGTTGATAGAAACAATGTAAAAACTGAAATAGTATAGAATGAAAATACTTGGAGTTTAAATACAGAAATAATGTGGGAACTGGGATAACACCCTCTGATAATATACCCTCATGTTCTTTGACCCTAAGTGCAACTGCAATTGACAAGAAGCCAATTCATTCCCAAGTAATATTTCCTGGGGTATATGCTACAACAACAAGGACGATAGCAAGGAAGGCAAACATCTTCTCTCGGGCTTCCTGAAGGAGCTAAATTGGGGTTTTAAGTTTGTACACTTTTAAGAGCATCTTTCCA